CTGGGCTCTATGAGGAGAAGTGTGGTGTCAGGATTGGTGGAAGATCTGTGTTATGCAGATGACACAACCCTGCTTGCTGAAACTGAGGAGGACCTCATACACTTGCTGCAGAGGGTCAAGGACTGCAGCCTTCAGTATGGACTGAGGCTCAATGTCAAGAAGACAAAGATTCTCACCACTGGATCAATTGACAGCATCAGGATGGATGGTGAAGAGATTGAGATTGTTCACAACTTCAGTTTGCTCAGCTCCACAGTCAACAGTCTTGGCACCAGCAGTCAGGAAATCAAAAAACATATTGCGATGGGAAAGTCTGCTGTTAGGGACCTCGCCAAAGTATTCAAGAGTGATGGTGTGTCTCTGGAGACTAAGGTGTGTCTGATACAGGCCATGGTATTTGCAATCATTTGTTATGCACCAAAGAGTTGGACAATGAGTAGGGAGGATAGAAGAAGAATTGATGCCCTTGAGCTGTGGTGCTGGAGAAGAGTATTCAATGTACCATCGACTGCCAAGAAAACAAACAGATTCATCCTGGAGAGGGTCAAACCAGGCTACTCCTTGGAGGCAAGGATTCTGGAGCTTCGTCTGACCTACTCTGGACATGTTGTAAGGAGGGACAGGTCCTTGGAGAGAGACATCATGTTTGGGAGGGTGGAGGGATAGCACAGGAGGGGAAGACCCTCTATGAGATGGATTGATTCAGCGACTGGGGTAATCGGGATGGGTGTGTCAGAGGCAGTGCAATTGGCACAGGATAGAGCAGGGTTTAGCGTTGTTGTACATAGGGTCGCTATGAGTTGCAAGCGACTCGATGACACATAACAACAACAACAAGGCACAAAAAGGCAATTGAGGAGGACTTCAGAGGCTGTGGTGGGAAAAGACTTAGAATGTCAGCAGCAATTAGAATGAATGGTGGCAAGAGAGAACAGAACGTGGGACATGAGAGATGGAGAACGGCCTTCCACTTCCGCACAGCAGTGGGCCAGCTGGCAGGTCTAAGATTGGCCTGCCCAATGGTTGGTGTCAGCAGGGGTAGATGAAGGCCTCACACAAGCCACACTCCCTGTTGTAGTCAAGTCGACTCATGGTGGCCCCATGTGCCACAGAGTAGAGCTGCCCCATAAGGTTTTCTTTTATGGGGGAACTGGGTTGGGAGGGGGAGCCTATTCATTACATAATCAGATTTCAAGGCCTTTCTTCCATGAAGGGTGAATGCTAATGGCAACTCTTTGCATCACCCCTGGCCTGACAAAGACTTATACACAAGATTTATCAAATCACAGAATGTCCTGGCTGGAAGAGTTCTTAGAACTCTTAAAACAGCTGCCACTCCCCCACCCCCTCACCCCCATCTGCAGTTAACAGATGACAAACAGAGTCCAGGGTAGGTGGGTGGCTCCTCAAGAATTCAGCTAGCATGCGAATCTTTGGAAGAAGAAAAGCAGCATGCGGTGCGGACAGATTTGACATCTTGACAGGGTTGTGCTCAATATAGGCCATGCTGGTAAGGGCATGAAGTTTTATTTGGTGAGAGAAGGAACAGAGTTTTCACCTCTTGCACAGTATGTGTCCCTTATGGTAGGTAAGCGAGGAAGTGTTGTTGTGGGGGGGGGGGGGTTCTGCCAGAGGGTGTGTGGGCTTCACTCTACTAGGGAGATGGCTGCTGACTGTACCAGAGACATGCTGTTCACAAAGTAGGAGGAAGGGGCTGGCCCTGAAGGAGGAGGTTCCTTTTTTAGCTTCTTACCATTATTTCTAGGGGTGGAGTAAAAGGCCATGCTTGGGGGAAGAGAGAATGAAGGGCTCAAGGCCTTTTAGGTTGGTGATGTGGACGTGGGAGGTAATATTTACCTCCTTCTGGTTGAGGAAGCAGACCATTTTCTCTAGGTAACTAAGATACCATTAGCCAGCTCGGGACAGGGAGGAGCAACCAGGCCTGTCCACCCTTAATTTTCCTCTCTGTTCTCCTCCCTCCCCACAACTTTTCTTTTTTTTTTAATTTTATTATTTTGTGTGTGTGTGTGTGTGTGTGTGTGTGTGTGTGTACCGTCAAATCAGATCTGACTGGTACAGGAGGAGAGTGTTCCTCCTTCTCCAGCACAGCATCTGGTGGATTCGAACCATGCACCTCTTGGATTGCAGTGACAAATTTTCTTCCTAATCACTCCCGCACCCCTGTATTTTCTTCCTTCCATCTCTATTTTTTAATATCTAAATAGTATAAAAACATTGGAAACAACTTGGAGCCTTGCTAAGTATCTGTGATTCATCTCTCTAGCAACAGATATAAGACACTATTAATAATGCTATGGATGCGTAGTTACTGAAGCAACAGAGTGAATTGTATTATTAAGTGGAAATATCAGGTTATAAAATGGAATTTCTTTTCTATGTATGTGTTTATAAATGACTGAATTTCATATACATATGTTGTTGTTGTGTGTTATCTAGTCAGAACCAATCCATAGCCGAGAACTGACCCGTTTTTTTTTTCAGAGGCAGTTAATTGCACTGGAGGAGATTGCTCATCCTCCCGCAGAGCAGCTGGTGGATTCAAACCATGTGCCTTTAGGAACAGCGGGTGGTTTTAAACCACTGACCTTTGGTTAGAAAGTCAGCACATTCACTAACACGTTGCCGCAAATGACAGCAATGTGCTTCTAAGCACGGCCATCAATTTAAAGAGTGTGCGGCAACGTGTAAACACTTTCATCAGAGCTTATATAAATTATATATACACACACTAGTTTATAGATATACACACTAATCTTTAAATGATACAAAAGAGTTGGGGTAGCTCTCAGGACCTGGTGCTAGAAGCACAAGCTTGGCTCGGGGTCACTGCCCAGGCTGACAGAGTTCTGTCCACCCACCTCGTCCGCCTTCAGGTCCTCCTCCAGCTGCAGCACCTGCTTCAGCGCCTCGGCCACCACCACCTTCCGCTTCTCCAGGAACTCCAGCTCGGCCTCGCACAGGCTATAGCCCAGCCGCACGTCCAGTGTCTCAGGGCTGTGGAGAGAAGGCACCTGGGCTGACTGCCTCTGTGGACACCATCTCCATGGAGAACACATGGCTTAAGGGTCCGTTGGGTGTAAGTTGAAGCTTGTTTCTGCCACCGTACCACCTAGGGCCTGTGCTTTCTTATCTAAAATGGGATTAATCATGCAACTCCAGCACTATCTCAGCACTGAACCAGTTAACAAAAATATAAGGTTCACAAAGCTTAGCCAGCATGTTTGAAGCAAGAACTCTCAAAAAAGAACCATTAGTACTTATATGAGGTGCTCAGCGAAACCTCTGCCTCCTCATCTTAATCTAGAAAGTCTTTGCCCAGGTGTCCTCTACAGCACAAGGACAGACACAGGTAAAAAGGAGCCTGAGATATTCCTCTGGGTCAGGATCTTTGGAGCAAGAGAGACAAGGATCCTGGTGCTGTGGAGCGCACAATCTTGAGTAACTCTTGCTCTTCTCAGAATAATATTCCTTCTCTGTTTTTGTCCATTGACAAACCCTTCAACATTCCAATCTCCCCCACAGTATAGGGGGCAAGAGTTGTCATAATATGCCCAACACTTGTCAGCGCTCTGTCACTTCTCTGTCCTGAACACGTCTAGGCTCCTAGCTGGCACCCGAGACCCTGCCTGACCTGGGCAACATCACTTCTCATTACTTCTGGACAGGCTCATCAGGTTCTCAGAGCCCCCATCTCTGAGCCTTCGCACAGTCTGCTTTCACTGGAAGCATCTACCACCACCCACATCCTTACATCCTCTGAGGTCCAGGCCTCAATAACTCCAGGTCCACAGACCTGCACAGTTCCTGACTTGGACTTGGTTTGCTTACAAGGTCACAGCTCCCTAAATATATGCCTGGAAGCTCTACCCTCCATAGTTCTTCCATGTCTAGCACAGAACTACAGACTAGGCTGAAGACATTATTCTTTCTTTGGCCTCAGCAAGGAATGACTACTTGTATTAGAATAATAATAACATTAGCTGACATTTGCTGAGCACCCCACTTGCTAACATATCACTGAGTACTTTCCATGTGTTTACTCACTGGGTACTTAGAATAATACAGCGATGTTTGATATTCTTGTTATCATTCCCAAGTTAAAGATAAGGAAAAGTGAGTCTGATATTCTGTAGCTTGTCCAAGGATCAATTGCTTGTCAAATTGTACATGGAAGTTATGGCCAGTTGATTGAGGTGCCAAGATAGTTCAATGGCGGGAAAAGTAGAATCTTTCCACAAATGATGTTGAGACAATTGAGTAGCTATGTGAAAAAGAATGAAGTTGGAGCCTTAACCTCATACGGTATATAAAAATTTATTTGTCATCATAATTATCAAAGCTAAACCTAGAAAATAAAACTGAATAAAAACATATAAGCATGTGACCTCAGGTCAGGAAAAGCCTTCTTAGACATAAAAAACACAAGTGATGGAGCTCTGGTGGTCTAGTGGCAAGAAGCTGCACTGCAATCCCAGAGGTACATGGGTTCAAATCCACCAGAGGCTCTGCTGGAGAAGGAGGGGCAATCTCCTCCTGTACCAGTCAGATCTGATTTGATAGTACACACACACACACAAAATAACAAAAATTTAAAAAAAAATTTAAAACAACAACAACAAAGCACAAGTGATAAGAGAAAAATAGATAAATTAGACTTTAGTTAAAGTGAAAAAACTTCTGTGCTTCAAAGGACACTATTAAGAAAATCTACAGAATGGGAGAAAATATTTGCAACATGTATATCTGATAAGCGGATCATATCCAGAATATCCAAAAAATGTTTATAACTCCATAATAAAAAGACAAACAAGTCAATTTAAAAATGGGGATAGGATTTAGCTAAACTTTTCTCCAAAAAAACCCCTTATATCAATGGACAATAATATATCAGAAAATGTTTAAAGCCATTAGTCACACATGCACACACACACACATACACACACAAGCAAATAAAAACCACAATGAGTTGCCACTTCAATGACCTAGTAATTTGCTACTAGGGTAGCAAAGAAAACAGAAACCTAAGTCACAGAGTAATAAGCGCTGGTGAGGACTTGTCAGGATTGGAATCCTCACACCTTGCTGGCTATGTTGTGTACCATCTAGTAGCGACAATGCATAGCTGACCTTCCACCGGGTTTTTAGAGGCAGTAAATCACACGAGGGTTGATTGGCATCTTTCTCTCACGGAGCAGATAGCGAATTCGAACTGCATGCATTCTGGTTAACAGTGCAATTTCTTACCACCAGGCTGTAAAATGGAGCAATGTCTTTGAACACAGTTCAGCACTTTCTCAAAAAGTGAAATACAGAGGGACTATCATTGTTGTAACGGTGTCATCAAGCCAAGTACGACTCATAGTGACCCTATGAACAACAGACCTGAATTCTGTCCTGTCCTGTGCCATCCTTGAAATCTCTGATACACTTGAACCCATTGCTAGGGTCACTTGTGTCAATATATCTCAGTGGGATGTTCCTCTTATTTGCTCACCCTCCACTTTTCTAAGCATGATATCCCTTTCCAGGGAATAGCCTCTCCTAACAACATGTCCAAATTATGAAAGCTATCCCTGCCTTCAAGGAGCACTCTGGCTGCACTTTCTTCACAACATATGGTTGTTCTTTTGGTTGTCCATGGGACATTTAATACTCTTAACACCATAGCTCAAAGGCATCGCTGCTTCTTCTTCTGTCATCCTTATTCACTGTCTAGTTCTCACACACATAGCAAGTGATTGAAAAGACCATGGCCTGAATCAGACATATCTTAGTCTTCAAACTGACAGCATTGCTTTTCAGTATTTTTGAAGAGGTCTTTGACAGCAGACTTGCCCAAAGCAGTTTATTTCCTATTCTTCTAACTATTGGTACCTAGGGTATTGATTGTGGATCCAAGTAAGGTGAAATAATTGACAATATCAATCTCTCTTCCATCTATCATGATGTTGTCTATTGGCCAAGTAATAAGGACCTGTGTTTTCTTGATGCTGATATATAATCCATATTGAAGACTATAGTCTTTAATCTTCTGCAGAAAGTGTTTCAGGCCTTCCTTACTCTCAGCAAGCAAGGTTGTATCATCTGCATAAGGCAAGTTGTTGAAGAGTCTTTCTCTCATCCTGATGCCATATTTTTCATCATAGAATACTGCTTCATGAGAGACATAAAACCCAGCAATTCCAATTCTTGAAACCCAAGAGAATTGAAAAACCTGTCTACATGAACACTTGCACACATATGTTCATAGCAGCATTAGTTAAGCAGCTAATGAGTTGAAGTGACTCTATCAATGATGTAAAGAGAAATGAAATGTGGTATACCCACATAGTGGAATATCACTCACCCAGGAAGAGGAATGCAGTTATATGTTCCAACATGTGTGACCTTTAAGAACATTATGCTGAATAAAGAATAGAAGAAAAACACCCACAAAAACTCAAGCTCATTGCCATTGAGACTGTTTTGACTCACGGCAGCCTTATGTGCTCCAGAGCTGAACTGCTCCAGAGAGATTCTGGGCTGTAATCATATGGAAGCAGACTGTCAGGCCTTACTTCAGCAGTCCCACTGGGAGGATCTGAACTGCCAAGCTTTAGATTAGGGGATGAATGTAAATGATTACAAAAAGATCATCTATTATATAATTCAATTAATAGCAAATGCCCAGAATAGACATTTTGGTCCAAAGAGACAGAAATTGGCGGTTGTCTAGGACTTGAGAAGCTCTGCTGGCCTAGTGGTAAGAAGTTATGCTGTAAACCCAAAGGCATGTGGTTTGAATCCACCAGCTGCTTCATGGGAGAAGGATGGGCTGTGCTGTCTCTGCCCATGCAATGTATTACCTCTGAAAATCCACTAGAGGGCCAGCTATGAGTTAGTTCCACTCAATGGCACAGAACAACAGCAGGGGAGTAAGGGGGAAATGGGGTCATGACTGGGATAGTCATGGGCTTGCTTTCTGTGATGATGAGAATGTTCTTCAATTAGGTAGCAGTGAAGAGTGCACAACTTTGTGATTGGACTGAAAACAACTGAACTATATATTGCAAAAGGATGAATTTCATGGTACGTGAAAGATATCTCAATAGAATTATTATATAAAAAAGATTGTAAGTGAGGCACCTTAAATCCAGGACAACCATTAAAGTCCTAGATGTGGCCTATTATATAAAAGCCTACATAGTAGTTGTTTCTGAAGTGCCATGCCTGGTACACAGTAAGGTCAGAAAAGGTGCATAAAGAGAAGCCCAGTTCTGTCAGTCTTTCTGCTCAGGGACACATAGAAACAAACATGTTGTTTAATGCCACTTCTTGATCCCTAGCCTTTTACTGAAGAGGAGTGGAGCCGCAGCAGCACTGGCAGGAGGCACTGTGGTCCATGGGGAGGTACCCAGGCAGGAGGAGGAAGGAAGGAAGGACGCAGATGGACTTGAACTGGCAGGGAGAGGGTGCCAAGTGGGTCTGGCACCTTGGCCGAGACCTGTGGTGCTCAGATACTTCTCTCACCATCTCCTGGGCTCTGTCACATCACCATCAGTGAGTTCAGCCTAGGCACCACAGACCACCAGATACAAGAGGGAAATGGGTAGAGAAAATGACTATTGGAGAAGAATGAGTGGAACAGTTTTGAATAAGTGGGTTTCAGGCAGAGGAAAGGGATATTCCCAACCCATCTTCAGGAGCAGGCAGTCTAGAAGGCACCTTACCAGTCGGTAGACTTCATCTGTAATTCACAGTTTTCGTTCTGGGGACCAAGAGAGAAAATGGTTTTCAGGAGGGATAATTCAGAGCCAAGTGGTCCCAGTCAAAGATCGGAAGACTCATCACTCTGCCTGCCCTCTGACTTCACTCTGCACACATGCATGCTCACATGTGTTGCACACATGGGCAAGCTCTCACATGCACATGTAAGCAGATGCACACAGGCTGCACAAACATGCACACACACACTCTCCCCTCTTCTGTACCTTATCCACCTTACCCTCACCTTGGCCTCTGCCCCACTCTATCCTACCTGACAGATTCTCATTATCTACCACCCTCACTTGCCCCTGTGGGTCTCCCCATGCCCCTGCTCCAGGAGCTCCAGACCAAACTCCTCAGGTGCTGCTTCCTGGACTTGGGTCCTCACCAAAGGTAGGGTCACTGTCTGACCCTCAGAAAGGCAATCCAGAGGCTGGCAGATGGGGCCATTTCTCCTGTGTGAGCTGCAACAGCTAAGCTGGAAGGACAAGTGAGCTTGTGAGAGGGGTGAGGGGTTCCTATGGCAGCCCTGCCTGCCGTGGATCCCACATTCCCCACTGCTGTGCCTTGTACCCCATAGCTCCAATGGCTCTTGGGCATCTCCACATGCATCTGAGACTGGAAATACTTGGGGTAGTGGAAGTGGGCAGGGTCCGGGCAGCTGGATGAGACACGCTGGGTATGTTCAAAGGACTCATCCACCGTCACCAAGAAGTCCTTTTCTGGAAGAGAAGACAAGAGACCTGAGACCCCAGGTGCTGTGTTGGTCGCTTCTCTTTCCTTCCCCTAGTTAACCTAGCCAAAAAGCTTAGCTGGGGATTCCTCAGGACAGGGGCAATGATTAAATGTGGCTGACCATGCCCTACCCTTAGAGATTCTTGTTTTGTAGGTCAGGTGGCACCCAGGAGTCTGTACTTAAGGGAATATTTTGTGGACTGCTAACCAAAAGGTTGGCAGTTTGAATCCATCAGCCATTCTGGGGGAGAAGGGTGTGGTAATCTGCTCCCAGTAAGATTTATGGTCTCAGAAGCTCAATGGTGGGTGAAAAAGAATAGGAATTGACTCTGCAGTAGTGTGTGTGGGGGGGTGTATGTGAGAAGTTGACAAATGTGAGTACCAGAGAACCCTCCAAGATACAGAGTCTTCTTGGACTTGACTCTTTGATTCTGTTTTGCCAGGCGGTTGTGGTGGTTGAGACAGAACAGAGTCACAGCTAACCCTCCAGATAGATGCCTAACATTTTGTGGGAGGAGACTGCCCATCTTTCTCCCATGGAGAAGCTGGTGGATTTGAACTGCATTCCTTTGGGTTGGCAGCACAACTCCTTGCCACTAGAGACACCCTGAAATTACCCTCTGCTGCAGAGAAAGTAGACGCTCCCCATACTCCTAGGCTCATACACTTGGGGAGGTTTGGGGTAGAGGCCTCTCCTTGCTCTTCCTCTCCCATCTCTGCAGGAAGTACTGCTGGCTGCACAAGGCTGGAAACCTTGCATGGGAGAGATGGATGGACAGAGACAGGGAGGCTCCTGCTTGGGAATATTTTAGGTCTCTTTTAGGTAGACAATGTTTTGTTTTCTGTGAATTAAAGTCTAACTAGAGAACAGGACGTAGCTAGAGGGGCCCTGAGTGCTGTCAGTGTACATCTTCCCCAGGTGCTGGCCACTGCATTAGACCTCAGAGCCCTTGGACCTGGTAGGGGTGTGTGTGGGGTGTAGATTTTGGGTGGCAGAGTGGGCAGTGCTGAGCTAGCCCACTGACCCAGCTGACCCAGCTGACCCAGGCCCAGGATACTTTTTAGGCCTGGGAAGTCCTGGGGATGTAGATCCTTGGTGAAGCAGGCTGTGGGGAATGGGAGTTCTTGGGCCCAGAGGGTAAGGAGATGCTGAGGGATCTCAAGCTTTGGAAACTTGGGGTCAGCTGACCAGGCCAGCAGGGTCAGGAGGTAGCTCTCCCCCCACCCCCACAGGTAGAGGGGTAAATAACTCACTTTCCCCACGCTTTCTATTAGGCCTGGATTCCAAGTGAACATCTAAGCAGGAGACTTGTCGGGACTGAAAAGAAAGGAAAAGAGAGGCTTGGAGATTGAGTACGACTTGGCCCCTTGTTCTTCCAGACCAAAGAGAGGTCATGAAGCACAAATGGACAAATATGGTGAAAGTTTCCCTCTGGGGTATTTCCGGGGGACACTGGGTTACTGCTCACATTTTCCTGAGTCAATTAAGTCATGAGGAGCTCTGGTGATGTTGGTGTTGTTGTTGTTATGTGCCGTCGAGTCACTTGTGACTCATAGCAACTCTAAACTCATAGAGCCCTAAACTCTGCTCTGTCCTGTGCCAATCGCACTGTCTCTGACACACCCATCCCCATCACCTCAGTCACTGAATCAATCCACCTCATAGAAGGCCTTCCTCTCCTGCACTGTCCCTCCACCCTACCAAGCATGATGTCCTTCTTCAAGGACTGGTCCCTCCTTACAACATGTCTGAAGTATGTTAGATGAAGCCTCAGAATCCTTGCCTCCAAGGAGCTGCCCGGCTTAACTCTCTCTGAATCTGTTTGTTTTCCTACCAGTCCATGGTACCCTCTTCTCCAGCACCACAGCTCAAAGGCATCAATTCTCCTTCTATCCTCCCTAGTCATTGTCCAACTCTCTGATGCATAACAAGTGATTGCAAA